CCCCCCCCCCTCCCCACCCCACCCCACCCAAGTCCCTTCACCCCCGCCTTCTGTGCTCTGCCATCCAGGATGATTGCAGCTTGGAAATTTCCATCAAGTTCTCCTTGATGCAACCGCTGACATTACATTCCTCTGCTCCGCTGTAGCAATCCACGCTCCATTGCTGCCACTCGGCAATGCTGCCATCGTTAAAAAATTGCAGCATATGTGGCATGTCTTCCATCCTTCCAAAAATTGCAGCATATGTGGCATGTCCGTTACCTGCTATAAACTGTGCAGAGCAGCGGCATCACTAACCGACGGATGCTATTGATCAATACCTTCCTGTCTTCTCTTCCATTTCTCTCTTGTCCTGAAACGAAAGCACACTTGTGGGTACGGCTATTTTCTACTGTGGGGAGCAATCCCCCAACTTCACTCACTGTATACGACCATGTTACAAATACATAACAAACATGTCTGCGATAAAAGTTTCCTACCCTCTCCCCCCTCTCCCCCCTCTACGCCTTCTTATTCACCTTTTCTGTCACACCCGCTTCGTCTTGCTGCTTGATATAGAAGCCAACTGCAAACCATCCACCCTCGCAACTTTGATCTCTTCACACATCTCTTTTCTGATGCGCTCGAGGATCGATCCCTTGCCCTTACCCTCCTCGACACCTTAAAACCCCAACAATAGGATTTGCGGGCCACCCTGCCCCCCTCCACCTGCTGTCCTCTACCCTGTCTGTTCTTTCACTTTCTCTTCTCCTCTCTTATCACAACAAGCTCAAAATGTCTTAGTGTTCTCCTGTTGTTCCATTCTGTGCTTGCAGAAACCTCTCTCTCTCTCTCTCTTACATGTACTTCCCAAGCCCTCCGTGCCTCACCTCATGTAAAGCATTTTCCTCCTTATCCCTCATTGCAGAGGGAGGAAGCTGCATGAGGGAGGCCACTACTCTCAGTGCCACAGTATAACTTGTTAACTCAAATTACCCTGATAGCAGGACTTGCTATCATGACTAGCATTACGGCGAAGGAACGACTAATCCGAAAAACCTTTTCACATAAATAGATGGGTGACATGTATATATCGTCACAAACAGAACTGCCCGGTAAACCGTAGGCAGAGAGAGAGAAGAGGACAACAAACGAGGGGCTGTGACAAACTGTTTCGTCGGAGTTTCACCGACTCATCAGGAGGCTGAACCCTCAACAGTCTGCAGAATCCCCTCACTGATTACACTGTAAATGATAATCTACCTTAACCAAAATCAAAGTAGACTATCACTCACCCACACCAGATGGAAAACTCTACAGACTGTCGGTTCACACCCCATCACAAGCCAGCAAAACATCCACGAAACAAAGAAAGGTCTGTCACAGCCAAAAAATACACTCCAGACACGCCGCTGGCACTAGAGGCACAGCATGGCCGCCTAGTAACGGCCCCGACCACATATATATATGTATATCGTCAAACAGAGCTGCCTACGGTAAACCGTAGGTGGCAGAGAGGGAGGGAGAAGAGGACAACAAACGAGGGGCTGTGACAAACTGTTTCGTCGGAGTTTCGACAACTCGTCAAGAGGCTGAAGCCTATATATAATGATAAACGATTTTATCATGTATTAGCTGATGATTTCTGTGGCACTGAGAGAGCCACAACCGGAACCAAAACTGAAATTTGAAAGTGAAAGAAGCAAGAAAGCGTTTGCGAGTGGACTCCCCTTTGCGAAGTCTCCAGGTCTGACGGATCTAGTGTTGCATGGTACTATCTCACATCGAGTCGTCGTCGGAAGAAATCTTGTTGTTGACGGAGATGTCTAACGACATCAGGTAGACATCTTGCCACGTGTAATCTTTGCAATTGCGGGCAGTGCAGAAAGATGCGTGCTGGGGACAGATTGCAGCAGCTGTTCATGTTCAGATCCTCCAGCTGTGGACAGTCTACTTCTATCCCTTGGATGGCAGTGCATCCCCATAAGCTGACATGGACTACTTTTGGGTGCTGCAGTCTCAGAACTCCACTCTCGGTGTGCTGGCCGCCAACGCCACCCTCACTGCTGCCATTGGCAGACCTCAGCCAGTTCTCGATAGAATTCTCCTTCTCAACCGCACTCTCTCGCGTTTCAGCGGATCCAATGCTGTCTTCCTTTCCTGCATGGCTTCCGGGGGAGGTAGGGCCTTGCAACATTCTTCGCTGTGTTGTGCTCTCAGTATCCTGCGATTCTTGTGCCTCTGAAACGCGGGAGCGAATCACGAGTGAGCCACTGCAGTCCAGCAGTTGTAACTCCGGAAGACATGCGACTAGCTTCTCGATTGCAACGGTGGATATTTGAGGGCATCCGGCCACTTGTACTCGCTGCAGAGTTGGCACAGCCCCAGAGCTTAGGTGGAAAAGAGCCATGTCTGTCAAACTTCTGCAGCCACTAAGGTCGATGGACGTCAGGTGCCTGCACTGTTTAGCGATGTGTTTCACGGACGCGTCAGTTATGGATGGAGCGAATGTGAAAGAGAGCGTTTGCAAGCAGTTCCACTGCGCACTGAAAAGCTCTTTCAGTAGAGGATCAGTCAGAGCCGAAGACGATATACGCAGAGAAACCAGCGACTGCCGATGCGAGGAGATGTGACTAATCAAGTTGTGCACTCTCGTTTCCTCGCCTTCTTGGTCGCTGGATGACAGTAGCATCGCTGATGAGGCTCGCCTCACTGACCTTGGAGAGTCAGGCCTAAGAAGATCCAGACAGAGCTCCTCCAAGCATGGACAGTCTAGCTGCAGACTAGCCAACTCACTACAGGATGACAGTGACAGCGATCGCAAGCTACTGCTGGTAGCTGCAAGGGACGTAAGGAGAGAGCACCTCTCCACCTCAAGTTTCTGTAGGGATTGACACGAAGATAGAAATGAGGAGATCCCGCTCCCAGTGACCTGGCATTCAACATCAGGGGCTACCTGGATGACAAGCGATTGAAAAGATGGTCGGAGCTCGCTGATCTTCTGCAGAAGTTCATCATCAATGGGTTTGAGCACCTTTAGAGTGGTTCGTATCAAGTGCGGGCATTTCCGGAGCATAAAGGGCACATATATTAAGGGGGGTTTTCTGTCTCCCAATAGAAAGCACATTTCTTCCACGTTGGACCAGATTTCCGCAGCAAGCCGGCGCCATCTCCGGCAGCAGGCACTGGCCGCAAGAAGGTCTTGCGGTGCAAGCTTAGAGAGGATGTGCAGCATACACACATCTTGACTCTGCCGCTCATCCGGATTGCACGCGCTTCCCAACGCCGACCTGGGAGCAACGCCGGGCCTGGAGGAGCTGGGGACCTCAGACCCGCTCAAAGAGCTGTTTCCCACAGATGGAGCCGACATCTCTCCTCGGGTCGATAACACTGGTGATCCAAAAGGTGCCTCAAGCTCGTCGGCTAGAGCGCCCGCCAAGCCATCCGCTTCACCGCTCGGGGAAGACACCACAGATGATGGATGTCTCCTCCTCACCACCTTCTTCTTAGCACGTGGAGGTCCATGGACAATGAATGGCTGATAAGCATATGATGGGGCCAAGGTAGCCTCATCACTCCAGCCAGCCCCATCATCCTCATCCTCATCCTCGTCATCGTCCTCGTTAACTTCCAAGATTTTCCTTTTCCTGTTCCTGTAAGGTTCCCTGTCAACCCCTCCTCCTGCAAGCAGTACCCTCTCGTCTCTTTCATAACTACCCCTACAAACAGTACGGAGAGATGCTCCTCCCCGCCCGACAAAAAAAGGACCAGTCATTCGACGGGTCTGATGAGGGCCCCCTGCAAAAGCCCTGCCTTGCCATTGAGCCACATGCATGCCGTTGTGCTCATCTTCCGTGCATGCATTATTTGGTACATCAAACTCAGCCGGGTCCTCCTCACAAAAAGTTGCTCTGCCTGTCATGCTGCCATCGCTGTTTCGACGGTCAAGCTTGGGACCAATTGGGGCAGAAGCAGATCGACTCCGGGGACAAGTGGATGACAAGTTTTTTCTCACAGGCTTGGTGGAGTGGGACATCTCGCAAGCGACAGTGCCGCGTGAAGGGAAGAGCGAAAACGGCACTAGCCTGCCCATGTGCAGCCTCGATCGACCCGCTGCCGAAGGCGTTCCACGATCATGAAGGTGTTGAGGGGTCAAGATAACCCCATTGCCAGTGCCATGTACAGAAAGGGGAGGGGGAAGAACCTTTCCTAAGTGAAGGGCCTGTCGGCTGACCTTGTCCACCATGTGCAAGTGAGGGAGCACAGACGAGGCTGCACGTTTAACAGGGGATGAGGATGAGACAGTGCCAATCGCTTGAGCGCCGACCTCATGCACAAGAGGATCTTCCCCTTCAAACACATCCATGTCCTCATATGGGCACACATGCCCTTTCTTAGGCTGCCCGCAGCGCCTGCATCTGTAATTGCCTCGACGACGCTTATTTGTTGCCGCTGTGGCTGTGGCTGTAATGCTCTGCTGCTGCTCCTTCTCAGAATGTAATTGCGACTGCTGGTTCCTTCCATCCTCCTCATCGCTGTCATACATATCGTCAGGGTTGAGCTCAATCAGGTCTCCATACCCCTCAACGCCATCATCGCCCCCCGAGGTAGCCGCTACACTCACACTGTCCGTCACAGCAGTCAGCGATTGGCTGAGCGCTGGTGACGGAACCTCCCATGAATCCATTCCTTCTCCCGCAGCGATACAGGGTAGAATCCTCTCTGACCCAATCGTCACTTTGCAACCCTTCTAGATCCCCGACCATGAAGTGCCCAGTCTGCCCCTTGCTTATTACTGGCTGCTTTAGTCTACTACTGTTGCTGCCAACTGGTTGTGCGCCATTTTTTAATCAAGGCTGTTTCCAGAGAGTAAATGGTACAATACGGCAAGGGTTAGCTACACATGCAAACAACCGTACGAAAATGGGAAAGGGGGGAGGAAGGAAAGGAACATCATTCTCGATACAGCTGAGTCTTTGAGGTAACCATCACATTCCACAGTATCGAGAGCTCAAAAGCATCATCATCCACACAATCTGCAAGCTCAAAACCATCATAATCCACACAATTTGAAAGCTCAAAACCATCATAATCCACACGATTTGAAAGCTCAAAACCATCATATTCCACAGGATTTGAAAGCTCAGAACTACCATCATATTCCACAGGATTTGAAAGCTCAGAACTACCATCGTTGGAAGCTCAAAACCATCATGTTCTGCACGATTTGAGAGCTCGATTCACTAGCGAATGATGTGCATTGAATGTCATTTGAAAAGAGCAGCCACATATATGGTCACTTGCAATTTGGCCCCTAGACATCTCTTCTTCACTCATTTCACGAATTCCCAGAAACCCCTGAACATAAAACTCCTTTATCTGCTAAACTCGGCATCCTCTTTTCTCCCTTTCGAGAACCCAACCCCACCCACTCACCAAAACAGGAGAGAGAGAGAGAGAGAGAGAGAGAGAGAGAGAGAGAGAGAGAGCATCTAGATG